GGTCTCTCTGAAGGGGAGAGAGTCGTGTGTGTGTGTGTGTGTGTGTGTGTGTGTGTGTGTGTTGGGGGGGTTGGAGATGGTAGACTGAGACCAACAACCCCTGCACGCTAGGTGGCTGGTGCTTTTGTATCTGAAGCAGAACCTGACCTTCCAGCCACCTGGCTTTGGCTTTGAATAAGCTTCTAAGTCAAGGACTCTGCAGACGACTCGGCCACGGGAGGAAAGACCAAGGGAGGGAGGGTGTCAGTGCAGGCTCCCAGCCCCTCCTCCCCCACCTGCCCCTCGCTGACCCGGTTCTCTCTGTCGTCGAGCTCTGGCAAAGGGTGGGTGAGCTCATTTGTGACCGTTAACTTGGAGCAATGGTTGCGCACTTCCTTTTACTTTCAGAAGTGACAGATATGGGAAATAAAGTAAGTGGCTCATCTATTTCCAAGACTAGGGGCTCTGCTGGGACTCCTGCCACGTTCATTCTGTGCAAGAAGAAGAACCTCCAAGTTCTATCAGGTAACCTCCCTTTCATCCTCCCGGCCTCCTGCCAATCAGAGATATGCTTGTCTTTCCTCCAGGGCCTGCAAGGAACCTGCCTGAGGAACAAAGCGAGACCCCCCGGCAGCGTGGGGGTCCCAGTGCCCCGTGGACGAGGCTCCCACGTCCTTCTGGCAACGACACTTTAACTGGACGTGGAATCAGTTGGTCTCTCCGTTTCTGGGTTTATGTCATTTGTGGCAGGAAATCCAGGTACCAGCCGCATAAACGTACGGGCGTTATGGACCAGCTGTGCCCATCACGCCAGGCAGTGCCCAGCATGGTCAGCCTTGGGTCATGTGCTCCCAGTGCCAAGTGTGCTACTGGGAGTGAGAAAGGAAGGCACAGCCACGCGCTCACAGCCCAAGTTAAAAATAGCCCAGGAGCCAGGCCGAGCTCTGGGTGCAGTTCTGGGAAGTGGCTGGCCCCTCCCAGCCGCCTGGCTCCGCGCTCTGGGCTCCACGGCCGGGCCTTCGGGGAGACCAGTGGGGAAGGTGAAGCTCCTTTTCCTTGTTTTTTTCTTCTTTAACTTTTCACTTGGCCGTACATTTGAACCTCCAGAAATGTGAGAATACTACAAAGGATTCTCGCCATCACCACGGCTGTCTGTCGGTCACCCCATGTCTGTCGGCTTCTGCGGCTAGGATGCGGAACCGCCGCGGGGACATCTACACCACTTCTAATCACGTGAACGACTGGGTCTTGAACCCTCAACTGTGTGGCGTGCGGGTCAGTGCTCCAACCCACCGAGTCCACGGGCCAAGGCCGGCACCACTGCTCACGCGTGGGTCATGGTCGCTCTGGCTGTCGTGGCGCTGCCTGGCCTCTGTGCTGCCTGACCGCCCCGAGCGCCTCACTCTCAGGCCAACGCCGTGCTCTGCCTGCGAAGCTGTCTTCTCAGCGGTGGCGGCAGCAACTGTGTTTCTAACTTTGTGGCTCTGTGAACCTCGACGCCACGAGCAGTCCCCGAGATGTACAAGGGACGACCTATGTCGGAGCCGCAGGGAGAGGCTCCATGTCCACCACGCATTCTGACGTGCCTCCACACGCGTGCTTCCCATGGTGGATTCCAGGCACATTGAACAGACAGGCCCACAGAGCCACTGAGGAGGGAGTTTTGCAAAGAAAATGGAACTTGAATCTGATCAGACCGGCCAATCTTAGTTTACAGAAGGACGGGGGACAAGGAACACGGTCAGGACACTGCTGGGGTCTGCCCAGCGAGTCCAGGCAGCGGTACAAGGAGAGGAAAGGCCTGGGGACTCATGGACTAGGAGACATGGCGATTAAAAACAGTTAAAGCAAACCCTTCAAGTCAATTGGAGAAATGTGAGCTGATAGTATTATACATTTGAATGATATTAAAGTATATTTAAATGTTTTAGATGTGAAGTTATTACTGTTGAGCTAAACAAAAAAGAGTCCTTCACTTTTAAAGAAAATTTCTGAAATACGTATGGATGAAACATTGCCATGTCTGGATTTGCTTTGAGGTAGCCTGAGACGGGGTATGTTGGCCAGTGGGCTGCGGGTGGCAGTCCTGGAGCCGGCATTGAAAGAGCGTACCTCAGACACGTGCCAGGAGTTACTGCTCTGTCCGCTAGAGATTTGGGGAGTTCTCCATCTTTGCACATGAATTCTCAGATCAGAAATCTTGCAAGATGAAAAGCCAAACAAATCAAAAGTTGAGATGCAGGGGTTTGGTTCAGACTCAGGATCTGTCCGCGTGGCCAGGTACTCGTGACTGCTCACTTTCCTCATCCCCGGAGCCACCAAAGGCTCCCCAAAGCCCAGCCTGAGGGAGCCATTCCCTGCTCAAAACCAGCCAACAGCTTCCCACGACTTTGAGTGCAGAGTTCAAAACCCTTAATGTGGTTGGGCAGGCCTTCGGGTGACGCAGCTCCTGTCTCTGTTTTATGTTATCCCCTCACTGCCCTGCTAGCCACCAGCGGCAGCCACATGGGCTGCTGGCACGTGGCTCTCCACCCTCCCAGTCCTGAGACTCCCACGTGACCTTCCATCCACTGTGCTCTCACTCGGAGATGCCGGCCCAGGGAAGCCCTTCCGGGACCTCCCTGACCCGGCACCTGTGCTGCCTTCCGACGCCCTCCTGGCTGGTCAGCAGGTGTGTTATTTGTTTCAGGGCTGTGTCCTGGGAGACGGCCGAGCAGAGCCAGCAGCTTGTTAGCTGCACGCAGTTCCAGCAGTGTGCCTGAGCCAGAGGGCCAACCCCTGGGAGCGTGTGTGTGCACACACACACTCACACATGCACACATACGCACACTCATACACGCACACACGCACATTCGCACATACACACATGCACACTCACACTCGCACATGCACACATACACACACTCATACACACACACACATTCGCACATACACACACTCACACTCGCGCACACACACATGCACACATACACACACTCATACATGCACACTCATGCGCACACATGCACACATACACACACTCACACACACACACATTCGCACATACACACATGCACACTCACTCTCACACTCACACTCGCGCGCACACACATGCACACATACACTCATACACGCACTCACACATTCACACACTCATACACGCACACACACTCACACATGCACACATACACACACATACACACACATTCGCACACACACATACACACTCACACTAGCGCACACACACTCATACACACACACTCATACATATTCTCATACATACATATACCCTCTCATACACACTCACATACACACAGGGGCACATGTGTAAAAATGTGCAAGCACGCTGATCATGAAGGAAGTTTTATTCTGTGTTCACGCTTCTCAATGCCACTCCTAGTTTGGGGCCGTAACATGAAGCCGGATACTGGTGTCATCTGGGGGGAGGGCCACGTCACTTTGCTGTTATTCTAATAAATACACGGTCACCTGGACGCAGTGTAGGCCGTGAGGGCGTTTGCTGGGCCTCCAGCAAACAAAGTGATATGCAGCCCGCATTTCCTCGACGTGAGTTTCACAGAGAAGCTACGAGGTTAAACGGTCTTTCTGCCCAGCTGAGCGTCTGCAGAAGGTCGAA